TTTAGTCTCTTCGATAATTCAAAACTACTGAACTCATTTACGCAAATTATCAAATTAGCTGATATACTCGTTTGGCGAAGAGAATTGTTAGAGTCGAGAAATGCAAATATGCGTCCCGCCTACATACATGTTGATAGCTGAGGAACTTGGTCGTAAACCAAATTGAATAGTTAATAAACAAATACACATTATATCTATTATGTGGAAAATCTGTGCTTATAAATATAATACATATGACCAGAATTTGAGTCTGCAGTGCTAAAGTTTGAGTTAATGCCAGAAATATGCATTGGAAATTTTAAATGAGTATCGCGACAGGAGCGCGGCATCACGGTACGGTTTCCTTAGAACTGTCCCGTCCCGAAAGGGTTAATTTAAATTTTGTTCAAAGACTATATATGAAGTACTATAAATATTCAATTTTTATCTTTAAGAAGTTTCGAAAACTTGGAATTGAATGCAAATTTAAAATGAATAAATAATACTATGTTAGTTAAAAGTAACAGGTATATTTATTAAATTAATTTTTGTATCTTTGGCATACTTGATAAATTTTTAAGAATTTAAATACCGTTAATTAAAATCAAATATGTTCGTTTCAATTGTTGTTGTTTCAAAAAATCACGACTCCAAACACTGGAACAATGTTGACCGTGTGCAGGTCGCATTACACGAGTCCTATCCTTTTGTCAGCAATAAGACGGAACTTTCAAGCGCGTATTCCAATCTCACGGCAGAATACGATTTACAAGTTTCAATCAGTGTGTGCACGAGGAACGGGGACGTTTACCAAAAAGCAGTGCCGATTCTGGCCGATTCCATGATATCGTCATAAGCGCGGAGATCGAATGTGCAAACCTAATCGCACCGAGCGTAACAAAAACAATAATATCATTAAGTGTCACTCTCCCATGCAAGCGGTGTGGTGTTTCGAGAACGCGACCATTATTGCCTTCGCTGTACGCGTTTATTCGATTGAGCGGTGTAATTTGGCAGAATTGTACCCGAGCGACGCTCAAGGCAACCGCACACGACGGACGACGTTCGATTCGAATCATGGACAATATTTATGTGTACAGTAGGGTAGGACAGGGCACAAAGGTCCAATTTGACTTTTAGCAATCATATTGCAAAAACCAAAACAATTGTATCATACCAAATAATACAAATCAAACAAACAACTATTTGACTTCAGTATACGTAAATTTCAGCTAATTCATCATTCTATAAATATTTTTCCTGTTTTGGACCTTTTTACTTTCAGGCTGGGTAAAAAGTTTGTGTCTGGGACGACCAGGGGGTAAACAGGACCAATGATTTTTTTCATTTTAAAAGGTTTTTACAAAATAATAGCTACAATGTAGCTGCTACATTATACAACCAAAGCAAAATATTAATTTTATTAGTGCATTTTTTACAGAAATAACACTGTAATTAACTACGATTTGCCAATTCATCAGAAATGTTTAGCAGCAGAGTTGGAATAACTACGCATTTAATTTTTCTCTTGCTTATTTTAACTTTTTTTTGCTACTTTTTATTTTCTACACCTTCGCCATAAATAAAGGTTTAGTTGGTTCCTTTTTGCCCACCTAGGTGTAAGCTTTCAATAAGGTTATATAAAGAAACCGGTTGAATATAACTTAAAATTAACAATACATTTTATAATACAATTAAATAATGTATACTTAATAATATATTAAGGTCTGGAAAACTAGGCAACAGTGCTCACAATCAAAATAAAAACAACGCAGTATATTTTAAAGTATCGTTTTTATTTATTTTTGAACAGCAATCAAAACATACGAGTCCTATAAGCTGTTGTGCCGAATTTATGCCGAATAGCAACCCAAACAGTTGTCCCATCTCTGCACAATAAATTATTATTAACTTCCCGTAGGGTAAGTTATAGCAATCGCAAAAAATTGAAAGTGAAAACTTTTATATATCTTTACGTTTCAAAGGTTTCTGAACATTTAGCATACCTTAAAAAATGTATGCATGCGAATACAAATTTTCGTCGACGATTTCGGGAACACCCATCAACCGATTTAAATAATTAAAAAAAACATTCGATTCATATTGATAAAGAGACGTGCTGATTAGTTTTTGGCAAAAGCAGGTCTAGCCGTTCCGAAGATACGGGGCAAAAAGTGCCAAAAACCGTAACTTAGTTCTTAAGAGAACGGAGCGTCAGATTTTAATAATTCAACATTTTACTCGTACTGACAAGATGAAGAACTGATAAAATTTTTGGGAAGGTAGTTCTAGCGTTTCGGAGATCTAGTAAAAAACGTAAAAAAATGCCATTTAGCGGTCAAAAACGATTATTAGACATATGCACATTTTCATTCACGATCATTAGACAATTTTGTTTACATTCCTATGAGTTACGCGCTTTAATGATCCGTCTCTATGCAGCTAAAGCAGTGCGATTTCTTTTAAAAAAAGTTCAAAATTTACAAAAAATTTCAAAATAAAAAAGCATTATGTTTCGAAGAAGTCGATTTAAAAAATTTAAAATTTCTCAAAAATCAAATTGTTTCATTGATTAAAAATAATTTTTTTAAAGAAAAAATATTTTTGGTGCGGACAGTTCCAGCAATTTGCCTTAAGACACGACGCCATACACCACTAGTTACAATTTCTGTAATAAATCGAATTAAAGCAGCAATGCCGGATCAAAGCTATTTTTATGCAAGAAAAAAATGCAAGATTTTCCAACTTTAATTAATGACACGTTGTTATATTAAGTAACTATTTATTATAATAGTATTACCGATTATCAAACCAGGTAAACCACAATCATTGACAAAATTTGAAGTTGCAGAAGAAAAAAGCAGAGGCAGGCTAAAATAAAATGTTAAGACTCACGCATTCTTATGCAATTTCGAATAGTAAGCAAAATAATGTACAACAGTTAGCACGTATTTTTATATCCATATTTTAGTTAGCTGAAATTGTATTACCTTAAGATAAATCTAGAAAAATTTTTTAATAAGAAAGTGCCAAAAGATTGCTGTGTGTTCACATTTCTAAATTAATATTTAGCCACTCAGAATACTTTTGTTATATATATTTTGTTATATATATATATATATATATATATATATATATATACATGATCGTGATCAAAATGTATGCACGTGATCTTATTCCTTCATACTCTCATCTGCAAGATACATAAAATGCTAGCAGGCACCGTAAAGTCTCGTACGGCCAAAATCGAAACGGTTGTAAAAAACGCCACTAGGAATGAAAAACATAATTGGTTCTGAATCTCTTTCGTGAACGGCCGAAGTCAGAACCTTGTGATATTGAGTAATTTTGTAAGCATGTCATTAAATTTCGATAATTCAAAAGTGAGATATTATTAAAATCACTTCAAAAATTGAACGAGCGGTAGTAATAACTATATATCATCTCATATTTTTTTTTATGTTTTTATGGTCTATGATGTGATAAGTATATGATAATATTTAAAAGTTGTTTCAATACATGTATCATTGATCTACAGATTTAATATCTACTAAAATAAAACATATTTCCTATTTGTATATTTAGGCGAGGTAGGTATCGAATCCCGAACTTGCGCTTGTTAAACCAAGTTCTTATAAAAAAATATGATCTGTAAATTAATATATTAATGTAGAATGTCGAATTGATTAACTATGTAAAACAAAACTAATAGTTTATATATGCCCTTATAGAACGTACCGCGTAATTAGGAAACCGCGCTATAAAGAACGCGATTTTAATGTACAAACGTATTGCGCTGTCTGAGAACCGCGCTATATGGAGATAAGTAAATACGAGACAAAAAGAATTATAAATTGATATTAAATAAATTAAAAATTTCATATAAAATTACATGAATTATTTTTCAATTATTGAATTAGAACCAAAATGAACTGTCTCAATAAAATTTTAAGTTGATTTTTTCTTAGAAAGACCAAAGTTATACATGAATGAGTTCCGACACTCCTACTAAAACCGATGCCGCACATAACTATTATATAAATTGGAATGTTTATATAAACATACTGTAAAAAATAAAATAGTTGATAATAAAAGTTATTAGAGAACTGGCGCGGAAGGAACTTATGAGCTGTTAAGCGAAACCGCGCTATAGGAGTATCGTGTTGTCGGAGGTCCGCAATTTCAGCTACGATACAAAAATCGTTTTTTCCGGGTACCGCGAAACAAAACTTTCGCGAAAAAAAGAAAGTTAACTCTCTTACAACGCGGTATCCGAAAAAAGCGACTTTTATACCGTAGCTGAAACTGCGAGAAATTATATATATATATATATATATATATATATATATATAATAAATCTAGAACAGATACAGAATGCCTAAAAGTTCTAGAAACAGTGTTTATGTCATGCGCATAGGAACAAAAACCTGTTTCCGCCTCTAAAACTATTTAGTTACCACCGTCTGGGTTTAGTTGTGCAATATTGCAAAATGGACCTATTTTAGCAAATATTTCGAGTACTTTTTAAATCAAAATTTCAAAACAGCCTTAAATTATTGGCGACATTTTATGTTATTTATTATTATTGTTATGTTATATACCTACGGAGTTTTTTGAACCAATGAAATTTCATTACGTACACAATTTTAGCAGAAAGTAAAAAAAAAAACAAAAAAATGTAAATGCTAAACTTTCTAATAGCATAATGAACCTTTCTTTACTGAATGAAGTAACATGGACCATTTGTTCATGGGGTTCCTTGATCACTTAGAACAATACTTGATTTATTCGAACGTGTCTTCTAATTTACATAAATCAGAGGCTTACAATGCTTTAGCTCGTACTTCAAGTTCTCCGCATAATATATACATACATATATACATATATAATTAATATAATATACAAAATAATTGGAGCTGCCGAATAATTGATGGACACGTTCACCGACGAGTTAGTTATCAAGTAACGTAGGTAGAAAATGGCAGCAATTCGATAGGTGTGCTAATATGACGTAAACTCACCTAGGATGACAGTAACTCGAAAACCATATTTTCTTCCTTCTGATTAAAGTCACTCACAATATAAAATATGTCCGTAGAAGTTTTTTTGAAATTACACTCACGATGCACTACAATTATCACATAAAGTTCAATCACCACGTGTAAAAAATTATATTCTAGAACTATAACACTATTCAGGAGTCACTTGTCAACTGCAAGGGCATCCGATGTTCGATGACGAAGCCGAAAACAATCGGTATTACCTACATTGAATAAAAGTTATGGCGCCAATATTCAAATCTATATCAAACCTGTCCAACCAAGTTATTTAACTTTTAAACATAGATCAAACATTACAATTTTAATATATTAACATAGAAATATATAAATGAAGAGATGAAATTTAGAAACATAATATTGAAGATTTGAAAATCAGTAGTATCGCAATAATAAATTTCATCATATTAAAAAAGTAAAAATTTAACATAAAGAAAATTTTTTGAGTCTTGAAAATTCTTGAATTTAATTTTTGCAATGAAGGTTGTTTTGATAAAATTTGTTTTTAATTCAAAAACTTCAAATAACATTTTTAGTCGTTTTAAAAAATTAAAAATTTACAATTAAATAAAAAAGAACAAAAAAGATTTTAATAATGCAAACTGTTATTTATATTGAAATTGAAAGAAGAAATATTTTTAGCGAATGATCATCCGTCGGTAAGTTCAGTTTTATATTCCTGAAAATATCGAACTCAAGAATAACACATAATCTTATTTTGCATTATTTGTATATTTAATATAATTTTATATATTTACAGTATAATAAAATATAGTATAACATTATTTCTAATTTATGTATGCTAATTGGCACTTTGGTTTGTTTCATTATTCTTAAAATTGTGATTGTAGATATGTTCTAATGGATATCAAAATCATTAATACCAAAGTAAAACATCATCGTGTACGCAATACTATACTAAAATAAATCTTAATTTTATTATTTAATATATTTTGATAAACCAGTTATTAAAATATTTAAGTAATAATAATATATACTAAATCTATTATTGAACTGGGATAATTTCACTGATAAAAATTTGCAGAAAAATACAGAAAGAGAGTAACAATCGAAAGATAGTTGAAAAATGTTGAATTTAAAAGCATAGTGTTAATAAAATTAATATATTTACTAATTAATGTTATTAACAGGTAGGCTTTTACTTCATGTTATCCTCTCAATATATTTTTCTTTATATCATGTTTATTAAATATTAATACTAATAAGGTAAGATTCAAAGACACAGTTGTAAGTGTAAATCAATATACATAAACAAATTCATCAAATATAGATTTATCACCAACAGAACTTAAATGATAATATTTACAAAATACTAAAAAATAATAAAACAGAAATGAGTTGTTGTTATGTAACAGAAATATTGAATAACATCCAAATATAAATAATAGATAAAAATCTATTGCAAAATTAGGTTTCAATAAAACTTTCTGCACATAAACATATTATAAAATACATCAAGTAATTATAAATTAATTATATCAATTTTCTATTTACAATTTGTTTACATTTAACTTTCGGCTTTATAATTATTAGAATTTGAATTAAGAAGTAAAAGAGGCACTATCAACAATTATGATATGTTTTTACTTAGCTTCAATGTACGCGGCCCATTTCTACACCTCCTAGTTGGCCGATGTAAGGGTATCCTGATTTTGCTTCAGTGGGTGAAGGAGCATGGTGTGATCCGTAATGGCCCATATTTCCAGTGAAAAAGCTGCAATAGAAAGAAAAATGGGTTAGTTTAAAAAAAAAATGAAAACACACAATTATATAAAGATGTGCATAATAAAATTAATGTATTTTTAGTTATTAAAAAGTGTTTGAAACAATAATATGTGCTTGCTTACATTTCGTATCTAAGTAGTAATATACATAGCCGTCACGTATATGATATGTTTTACTTTGAATATTTCAGTACACAATGTACTGAATCATTAGGCATACTTTTATTATTTAATTTTTTGTTCGAACGGTAGCTAGAGACCACGTTAGAATACTAAACTGCGGTTCTGTGATGCGAGGTAGAGAAACACGTGTTGCTTACAGTGTTATTACAGTCCGATATAATTGTACAGTTTTTCGTCGGCACCGTTTTATAATTTATAATCTCTAACATTCAATAATTGCATACGTTGAACATTGTCTATTATTACCGCTGTTGGATACCGAGGAGTGAAGAAATGTATCATTATTTTTTATTATTCGGATGCAAATCAAGAAGGAAGAGAATGAAGTGGGGATATAGATATAATGCCAAAATGGCATTGCGTGCTTGATGCACTCGTGCGATAATTATATAATTTTAATTTTAAATGAGTAATTAACAGGTCGTATTACAAATTTATGACGGCGAATTTACGACCGGCCCGAATTACTTAATCTACGAAAACGCGTGCGTGCGATGATGTGTCGATGCGAAGCCAAGTGTGTGATTTAAGAGCGCGGCCTGGCTCTGATACCCGGTGGTCATTTGCAAATTGCATAGAACATGATGCGACCAACAAAAGCGTATGCTATTTTTTATACTTTGACAAATGTGTTATTCCGAACGTGTATTATTAGTAAAAATTGCAATATACAGTTGGTTTAGAAGATTGCGATATAAACGGAATTCGATTTATGATATACCTAACATTTCACTCGAACAAAATTGCCTCTAATGAGTAATCCCAATTATATACAAAAACTTAAAGAAATAGCAACGTATAATTTAGCAAACAGAATTATCTTTTATAAACACTCACCTATAGTTGTCGGTCCATGATGCAACATCGGCAGGCTTGGAATGGTGATGTCTAACAGGCCATTGAGAATGAGCATGTTCTGGTTTAGTATAATCATAGCCTGTACTCATGTATTGAGATTGTTCAGTAGGAGGCAAGTATCCAGCATATGATGGCAAGGTAGCCTGCAAGTAAAAACGAGAATATTTAGTTATATATATATCGATTGAACAGATAAAGATATATAATGCGCACTGTTTATTTCGGTACGAAAGATTAATAGCAAAATTAAGTTAACGTACTTGTAAAGATCCCGCGTCTGGACTGAGTGAGGAAACAGGACTGGCGCCTAGTTGCTGGTGAACTTGCTGCTGCTGTTGCTGTTGCCATTGTTGGGCCATCGAAGCGGAAAATGTTGCTGCTGATGTTGGTTGAGCTGCTTCATATTGCTGCAGCATCGAAGCGGCGCTGCTTGCGTAATCTTTTGCGGCAACAGTTGTAGCCGACACAGCAGCGCTTGTTGGGCACTGAGTCTGTTGTTGTTGAGATAAATTGTGTTGTTGTTGAGTGTGGGTTTGATCTTGTTGCATGAAAGACATGGGATTGAAGGCAGACGCGACTAATTGTTGAGAATTAAGCTGTTTGCGCAGACGAGCTCGGCGATTGGAGAACCAAACTTGTACACGCGCTTCGGTCAACTTAGTCTTTTGAGCGAGTTCTTCCCTGGTGTATACGTCAGGATACTGAGTTCGAGCAAAGGCACGTTCTAGAGCTTCCAATTGTTCGCCACTGAAAGTTGTGCGGCTGCGACGCTGTTTGCGTTTTAAAGGAATGCCTGGCTCGCTTTCAGTGTCGCTGGAATCGCAAGAAGATTGGCCACCTGTAAGTAATAATAACCATGTTATAAAGCATATCTCAATCTCATAAGATAAAAGAAATGATGAAAGCTATTAAATTCTTGTTGGGATGTATAAAATATTTTCTGTTTCGTGGAGGAATATATCAAAACGTTTATAATAGTTAGTTTTTTAATCTCAACTTGCTGATAGCCTGGTATTGTTAGATTTCAAACGTTAAACGCAAATAGGCAAGTAACGGAAGCAACTGACGGAAACTGCAACATAATGCTATGTATCGCATCGATGTGTACCTATAGATTGGCGAGCTGGAGCTCCGTGGCGGTATAATGGATTTAATTAGACAGCCATTAGCAGGATGTTGAAGTGTCAATTACATTCGCGGGCTGTAATCATGCGCCGTCTCTTATTCTACTCAGCTACGATGGTTGTTCTATCATATTGGTGAATACTAGTAAACGGCGAACGTGCATTCGAGTCGTGAAACGAGAACACGACCGCTTCTATCTCATTTGTATTACGAATAACTACACCTCTTTCGCAATTCTTAATACACTTGTAGCAAATGTCTAGCAGACCGTTCGAAATAAATAATACATTTGCAACGTGTAACATGTTTATGTAATTATATAAATATGAAAAAAAAACTTCGTATGCAAATGTATATAAAAGTGTACATAGATATATAAACGTACGTTTTTATCAATGCAATTAAGAAATGATTGATGAATTATCCAGTTGTTTGATTAGGAAGTTTGAAACTGAAGGAAGTAGAGAGAAGATGATGGTGATATGATTTCGTAACATTAGTGAGGAAAATAAATCATCTCAAAACATAATACCTATGCATTGGTATTGTATAGTAGGAACGTAATAAAACGCGAATAAACCAATTTCCCATCGCGTTGCGCGCATCTAAATTTAGCCAAGTCGGGTATCGCGAGTCGGCTGAACATCAAAGGGTAAAAACAACGGGATAACTCTCGGTCCCGGCGCACATACATATTACATCGCGCACCGTGCCGTGTTTAGATCCACTAACAGTCGAGTGAATCTATGTTATTTGGACGGACCGGAGCAAAATGCAACTACGATGGTAGCAGCGCGTTAAAATTGTGATTCGTGATCGCTGCCCGAACGATGGAAATGCAAGAAATGCGCCAATTTAAATAGCGCACTATACGTCTAATGCGAACTAATGGAGCGATTGATGCTAAATGCATGCGGCTGACTATCGATCATTGGCATTTTCTTCAACCGTTACTGCGTCAATCGAAGTGAACAGTTTTATACCGAAGGTAACGATTAAAATGATAATTATTTAGTAAGATATTTAAATTACTGTTTATTTACCTAAGATGCCATCAATGGAGTGGTTTCTTCTAGGATCGCCATCTTCTCGTCGTCCACCTCTCAATAAGCGGCTGATAGAAGAAACTGACGGAGCAGACGTTTTATCACAGACTCCCTCCTGCAGCAGAGAGAAAGCGCGGGATAGGTTACACTCGTAGTTAAACATATTTATAGTAATATATCAAATATAACACTGCACAAAAGCGTTTTGTTCGTATCTAATTTTTCTATTATCGTTGAGTATAAAAATTTATTTGAATCACAAGAAAGATTGTTAACACTAACGTGAACATTTGGTAGATTGTATAAATTCAGTAGAAAGATACTCATAAATCAGTTAAATTACGCCCATTTTTAAAACGAAAGTAGGATCACTATAATTAATTGTAATAACTGAAAGCCATAATTACAACAAATATATAATTAATATTAAAACATATGTTTTTAGGCTCATTAAGCAGTTTTGTTCCAAGTTCCAAGTGGATAAAAATTCATATAACAGTATTTAAAAAATACATAATTTAATTATGCAAAGAAATATCATTATTCGAATACTCACTTTGATCAGCTTGTCGCGAATTTCCCAGCTAAATATGCCTGGATTGCGTCTTTTCAGATCATCAATTCTTCCTTCGACCTCAGGAGTTGCAACTCGGGGTTTGGAGCCACCAATGACTCCCGGCCTGATGCTGCCGGTCTCCTGATAGCGATTTAATATCTTGGAAACGCATCCATGAGATACACGGAGTTGTCGCGATATTACACAGGGACGAACTCCGGCAGCTGCCATTTCCACAATTTTCAAACGAATGTGATTAGGAAGAGGGCGACCGTTTATGAAAACACCGCCTAATTGGTTCACACGACCCTGACCTGCAAATAATGATATATGTCTAAATACTATTTTATGGAACAAATTCAGCAGTAAGTAAGTAAATAAAAGTAAGACTGGGCTTATTTTGAACAATACTTAAATACCTATAGTAGACGTAAACGTTTGGCTTGTCTTGCTCAAGAGAGCAATGATAGAGATGTTTAAATTTTCCTTTCAACGATATTTGCAATTCACAAACAATTTAAAAAATACAATATGTGTAAATATGCATGTAGGTAAATGTGCAAATAGATTTTATTGTAAGTTAACATCTACGTAAGATTTTTTTCAAACGCAAGATAAAATACAAACACGATTCTATTCTTTTCCCTTAATCCAAAGTTATGTAAATATATACATGTATTCTCTAACGCTTCTTATAAATCCAATATATAATCGCTACTGAAAATCGCAAATAAAAATGTTACCTATCTCAATCACATTACACTGGGCTCTCCTATTGATACAATAATTTAAATCCATTTTAGAGCATAGTATTATAATAAAACTCTATGCAGTCTTTTATTCATGTTAAAGTTACCGAAATGATTTGATCCCCTAGTTCGTTTGTTATTTCTTTCATTGGATCACAAAAACGGACACGGATTACAATAGAAGCTCTCAAAAAGACGCACATCGACCTGGTGTGGCCAACTTAAGAGCTATTACTATTTTCCGCACAACTACACTTGTAGTGTCTGCAACCGAACACAATACACTAGAGGTAAATGATGATCAACAAATTTGACAACAATATCATCTTGCAAAGAATATGGAGGCTCATATGCCGGGTGGTCCAACCGAGGTGTTCTCACCGACCGAAGGAGAGGAAGATTTTAATCCGGAATTGAATTAGATCGATATGAGCTCGAGTTTGAATATCTTATTTATGACGTAATCATGAATATATAAACATGATGTGTCTGCTCCAATCAGCAATACGAAATCAAGCATTTTTATTAAGTAAATTTATATAGTTACTTATAAGATCAATAACGTGCTCGATAACAAATAATTAAAATACATATTCAAAGCCGTGGTGATACTCATGACTCACCTCGGTAGTCGTTTCATGAAAAACAACTTCTCTATTAAAGTTTTTATAGCTCAAACATCGAATTGGATAACCCGAGTATAGAGTATTCTATTTGTATACTGATATAGCCGTGTACAATCTATGCATTTGTATTAGTTAGTATTGTGTATTGTTGTATGGAACATTCATTATTAAAGATTTCCAATTTAAAAATCTATTGTTAGTGATAGGAGGAACGAAATTGTTCGGTAGCCGCTCCACGCGGTTCGACTGCGTTGTTTTTAGAGTTATTATTTTTTATAAAGAGATCGAATGTATATCTGAATAATACTATTACGAAAGATACCATGACAAGTTATTTCGAATGATAATGTAACTGATCTTGGAAAGAAGTATTTTTAATAAGAATGGCTTATCAATTGTTTTACTAAAATAATATTTTATCGTTTCTGTGACAAAAATTCATTGCTTTTATATATATATATATAACTCTACCTCATAATTTAAATTAGAACAACACTTAAATTTTAATTAACAAAACATATGCTCATATATGCCGTGCGTATTGATAATTCATTACCATGTAAGCAAGTAATTGAATCATTACTTTAAATTATATACCGCACAACTGCTCATCTTGTACATATTAAATACAGTGTATGTGCGTTATTTAGAATATTTAATAAGAAACCCGATGTTTTATATTGTGTTGTGAGTTTTTTTTCTCTTTATACATACCAATTTACTAATACATGCCAAAATACTGCAGGATGGCTTACAAGAAATCTTAAAAGGATGGTGTTTTAAATCAGATTAAAATTATTTATTATATGATTTTTTTAAGGTAGAATTTTTATTTATATAAAATAGTTGATATTTTTTATTTGAAGAATCGAATTAATTTCCTAGAAAATATGTATTCTAGGATGAGCATTACCAAGAAGCAAACAGAATTTTTTATTTTTTTGTCTATCCGTAAGTTCCGCCCTCGTTTGTAAATTTTTCTAATTCTAACCAGAAATAATTATTCAATTTTTTATAAACCATGCTAACAAACTTATGCGTATTATGAATTAAATTATACCGTCTGGTTTGTAGATGATAAAGTCGGAAAATTAATCATACTCTTATTTACATATATTTAACTCGGCGCTTTACATAATTTTATTTAGCGTTGGTAAATCATTATATTAAGCAAATCATAATATTTTATGTATTTTATTTTAGTATATGATACTATTAATTCAGATGCGCACACCTGTTGTTTCGGACCGTGCATTCCTTTAAGGTCATTAAATTTTTTTCGAAGATCAAGAGGCGTGGTCAATGCTCGCGCCGATACTAAACAATACTAGATAATTAATACTCCCACAAAACACGTGCCATGAATAATATTAAGGTATTTTAAGTCAGCTTTGCCAAATTGCCGACCTCCCAGCAAATTGAAAAGTAAGAAAAACGAGATAAGTTTAAAATTATAACTGTTATGATAATCCGAATATTTAAAGATCAAATATTTTCAGGTAAACGAAGAATATCTATACAAATCTTAATCGATTAACTATATAATATATTCATGTCCTATGGGCAATCTTGATAAACACATTCGAGTTTGATTATTGCAGATATCAGATTCGATTATCACAAGACGTGTTTTAGGGCAAGATGATCGTCCCGAGAGCAGCGTAGGAGTATTTCATGTACTTCATTGTTGTTTTTGTTTTATTACTTTTATTTTTTCGTTTTTCCTTGATTTTTGTTACTTGGGTTTCTTACGAAGACAGAAGTCGCCCACGGCATTGTGGCAACCTCCTCATCATCGTGTAACCGATTCTCTCAACGCAACCGCACGCCGGAGATCTCGTCCTCGAAGGGTTCAGATTTCCTTTGATGATTTCACTCAGGCCGCCCGTAGAAAAAAAATCGATGTAAAAAACTATTTATATGGTTTCAGTGATATATTTGTCACATTTATAATAACGATCATCATTTTATTATGAAAAATTTATAATAAAAGATTTATTTTACATGATAAACGACCGTATGTATATGTACATTAATATTTTCCAGAATTCGATCCTGGAACTACATTTGTAAACCCCCTCGTTTCTATATGTCGTGATTTGCATTTATTATTCGTCATTTAACTTTTCGTTTATTATTTTACTTTATTGGTTAGTTTTTTTTTATTCATCAATGTCTTTAAAATTTGTGTGTTGTGTTTTTTTCCTCGATTTGCATGTAATGTTATTTTTATTTGTTATATCTTATAGTTATCTTGTGTTTTTTTAGAATTTGTTTAACGTGTTGAATGATGACACACATACAGTGTCGAAACGTACTTAATAAATAGTTAATTATTTATTGCTTTTTATTTCGACTATTTGGCTCCAATAAATATTTCAAAAATATGTTTCAACGTCAAGAAAAAAAATCTAAAGTTTATACCTATATAAATATATGTATAATAATTTGATTTTTATACCAGATGTTTAGCCATAGGACTTTTACTTTGTAATAATTATTATATTTATTTTAGTGTTTTATCATGATTATTTATATAATATATTTAGGTAAAAAAGTAAAATAAGTACATTGAAATTTAATATTTACACTAAAAACTATTTTTTAATATATCCAAAGCAACACGCCATGCCAACTATAACCTGATCGACCCATAACTAAAATACAAACACACCATTATTAAAAATTTGTCTGCGATTTGTTTTTGAGAATATGTTTTTATTTAAACATGTTTTGTAATTTTTTTAAGAAATTGTTATTAGCCTTAACCCAATTATTGATGTGTGATCTTTTTTAAATAATAGTTAACCCGTTTACCCTTTTTATCGCAATACATTGTATATTTTTGCTATTTATATTATTTATTGTGGTTACATCATATGTGTCAAACAAAAACCCACGGGTAAATTCATTAAAATAAACAATGTTGCAATCCTATCACGTGGCAATCAAACATTTTACTCCCTAACTTGATTTTATCTTGATGAGTCAATTACACAGAAATGACTTAAATTATGAATTGCTTTTAATTTTGAAGCATAAGACAAGATAGAAAAAAATATGTCAAAATTTCTGAGATTGCAATAGTATCTTAAGTATATTCATCGTTCGGCCACTTATACACTCTCTTGTCATATGACATCGGTTATATTTAATCCGTTTCAAATTGACATCGATGTTTGTATGTATCATTCCAATTATTGCTGTGAGTTCGTGTGTTCCATTTGATATTGATACTACTCACGAACGGATTACAACGATATATCGGAATGGTCGGTATATTATGTATATGATGTTCATCACACATAGGTCGGAAAGGAGAGATTCCATCTGACAGAAGGCGAACACACACTGATCGTCGGCTCCTTTGAGCGGCTTAATTCACATTTTCAACACTCTTGCCGTGTTTCATATATGACCAGAGAGATGTTACAGACACACACGATATCTGTCTAACATGAAATTTCCGTGCTCTGCCGCCCGAACGCGAAGCAGACTTGATAACATGCCATTTAAACATGTCGGTTTTTAAATCAACTTTGCAAAAATGAATGATAAAAATGAATTTTATAATTTATTATAATTTAAATATGAAACATTGTATTTCTAATGGAAATTCCATAAAATATAACCCTTTACAACTTATAGCACAAAATTTTTTTATACTAAAAGCAAGCTGAAAAGGATACCAACTTTAAAAACATAATGATAACTGAATTGTTGTTCAAACTGTATAATATTCACAAAAAGCAATATATTTTACAATTATTTGATAACCGATTTAATTGATCACAAAAAATTCAGTTTGACACTTTAATTAATTATCGCTGGTAATATGTATCATTTATAGATTATCCCAGAATAGTTTAAATATCCAAAAAATCGTGCTAGAACTCAAGTGACCGCAAGCGACGGAGATTTCATGTTTGAGATAAACATTAAATATAAACATAAAATTTACAAAATAAATACCTTGGAAAGGATATCCTGTGAAGTAAGGTGACATGTTGAGCGTTGATACAGCCATGTAGTCTATGTCAGGTAAGCAACAGGTCACAAATATTTAACAAAACTTGAAGACTCACAGATGATGAAAGACGTTACAAAACACAGGAAAATCACACTTATAACAAACTTTGTTCGAAGCAAACAACAAATAAACTGTTTCAATCAACTAACAGATATTTAGAACAAAATCAACAAAATAAATCAAAATAAAACGTGTAAGTGAATATAAGGAAGCACTCCTAGACGTTTTCAGCGCGGTAGCTATCGGCTAACTGACTTCAAGTTTGCGAAGATCGAGGCTGGTTAGGTTCCCTCGCAAGCACCGTCGTTTCTCATTTCCATGAGGCTCCGCCTGTTTTCAATCGGGGCTCTCGTTCTGGTACATTACTGTAGCGATCCGGGGACTTGCGTTTTCATTTCGTCATTTTTTACCTGTTGCACTGGGACTCCACCTATTCCGATTCTGACAAAAGCGGCTCGCTTTGACGGCGCCCGAACGCGTACGCTATTGGCGATGTCGCTTTACGAAAAGGTGTGCCAGGTATAAACGAAATGTACTTGAGATGAAATTTATTATGAAATATCATCTGTAGCCCCGAGAAAATATTACATCGTATCAATACACCCAGAACATTCTAATGGTGTGATTCATATGCTCCGGTGCGAGGCTGGCGTTTATATTGTAAATGTGTGTGCTTCTTTATTAACTAGGAATGCCTTCGGAGATTCCTAATGATTAGCATGTGAAATCACCCGTGCTGTGAGATTAAAGATACTTCACATTCTAAACCAAGGCCACCCAGGAGACCCTTTGTCTACTGTGTTTTATATTTGATTGAGTATGAATGATTGTGTGATTTTTCAAAGTGGCCACAATCTAGTAATTTGAACTGGAGAATTAAAAAAGGACCGCAAGGAATGTTTTTAAATTGCCTAGTTTGAAAAAGGTGTTAGCCTATAATTAAATTTCGTACAAAAAGTTGAGAACGTAAAATATCGCTGGCAGGAGTATTATTAGCATAATTGATTTTAGTGATCAAGAGAATAGTATAAAAATAATAATATAAATTCAAAAGTTACATGTATATAGAGTCGAGCGGGGCTTAAAGGTTCGCGGGTAAAATGATCCAGAACCAAAGTCTCAGAAACAATTAAAGTTAGGATTTTTTTTAACAATATTTGAAAGTAGAGAGCAATGTATTTGAAAGAAGAGCGATGTACAATTCCCTGGAATATAACGATGATGCTATCGAAAGATAAACGGCAATGTTTGAAAACCCATGATAAAAGTATCTTGATTTGTTGTAAGTTTTTTGGTTGTGAGCACGGTTGTTTAGTTTACAAGACCTCAATATAATGTTTAAGTATATTTTATTCAATTATTTTAGAAAAACTTTAGAATCTAACTTGAAATTAGCAATGCAATTACATGCTTACATCTGAGTGGGGTAAAAAGATCAACTGAACCTTTATCCTGACAAAAGTGAAAACAGTATAAAAGTAAATTAAGTTTAAAAAAAGCAATTTTACATTAGATAAATTAAATAAATAGTTTTTCCAACTTTGCTTTGAAGATTTTAATTTTACAATATTTAGTAACTTCTTATTTTTATTGACTATTTATGCGAAAGATTAATAATTGCAAGGTCAGGAGGTACATAAATTATTTTTGTACCTTATATTTTTAACATTTATAGTATTAAAATCATTTTTTCAATAGTTAATTTAGTTTAAATTTGTTCTTTTTTTAGTATGTACAATGTTAAAACAATAAACAAACAAAATAAATTGAATAAAACAAACAAAAATAAACAATGTTTATTCAAATGTGTACAATGTGTGACAGCAATTTTTCGTGACACACTAATGGAAATATTCGTAAATGAGAAGATATTGTTTATTTTTATGATAATGAACAATTTCATTATAACTAACGGTTAATACAGAACTACGCAATATATTTGATTATTCATTCCTCACATTGTATTACATTGCAGTTCATCATTCTTAGTCACACACACGTGCATTAACAACATTCCTTTTTATTAACTGTTTATCAAAACCACATACGCAAAACAATCTACTTAGTCATCTATTATTAACGTCCTAGAAATCCTTACATTATATTTGCGCTCAACCAAGTAAACAGTAGACAAGGTAAAGAAATGTATGTAATCTTAAAATGAATTAAGTCACCCTACTTAAAAATAGTTTAAAAAGCCTTGCAATAAAGAAAAGGCAGTTTTAGTTTAGTTTCAGTTGGGACAGTTAACAGCCAGTTCTGTTTCAGTTAGTAGTTCAGTAGAATTATAGTCATGTGGGCAGTTCAGTTCAGTTGGGGTAGTTGAGTAATCACAGATAAATAGTTTAGTTAAGCAATTAGGAGCCAGTTGAGTTCAGTTAGGCTTTGTTAGTCAGTTGTGTAAAATGTAGTCTATGAAATAAAAAATCAAATCAAAAGTCCTTTTTGCAGTCACACTGATCAGTTGCGTCACATATATTGGTGGCAGCGGACCTTACATATTTTGTT